CGGACTCGTCGGTCGTAGTGCGTGACGATCATACACATTTACCTGATGGAACTGATATGGAAATATTACAAATTAGAAAAACTTTAAAACGTAAAGTTATAGAAGAATCTGGCCCAATAGATCGTATAGTCGAAGAAGCATACCACGCTGCTAATCGTCAGTCTCAATCCAGTGATTTGATTATTAACTTACCGTCGAGTAAATCCGCTAATTAAAAGCTAATTAAAATAGAAATTAATCAACGGACAGTAAATCCGCGGACAGTAAATCGTGTAAACCATAGCGTCTACATCCACCTTGCAGCAAACATTTAGAGAGAAGCACTCATTTTTTCACATTGTATGTTGATTTTCTACTAATTTTTATTAACATTCTCAAAATGACTAGTTGCAGTTGATTTCTATATTATTCAAAAATATGTTCAGTTTTAACCGGTTTCACTTTTCTTTTATAGAACTGCTCATGACCGATCTCATATACGTGTGGATCAGAAATTAAAAGAAAAATTTCGTTTACCATGGGAGCAAAATGGTAATCGTAGTTTACCATCAGATACCGAGGACGATATATCAGCAAATGAGGTGACAAATGAGTCACTGACGCGTGACAAACCAACACCAACTAAACCGTAAATAAATCTTTAATCGTTATTCTTTTGATAACTTAGAATATCAATATGGAGTATATTTTTAGTGTTTTATCAAAGACAGCCAAAAGATTATCAATGCAAAAATTTAAATGGGAAAAATCTGGCGGTTACATATCGTGTGTTGATGATCAAAATTTAGTATTTGGTGTAAAAGAAATCGAAGCAAAGGTTGTCGAAGTTGTTCTGAAACGACGAAATCCAGATGATATATTTCAAAGATGGTTGATTAAATCAGTAAATGTTAATACAGACAATGATGACAATCAACAAGATGATACATTAATGTTGAATACATCATTGTAAGAAATATTTTCTATTCAAAATTTATGAGGTGATAAAGTTTAGTCGATTGACAAGAGAATATTTTTTTTTTTGCGTGAAAAAAATAGTTTTTCGTGCGTAATGTATGACACTGATGACAAACCTGATGTCTGTCCGTTATTGCTGTTAAGCCGTGCCAGAAACAGTCTCTAGAAATCTGAAAATACACTTTAAAAACCAAAATGTGACCTTGCCGGCTTACAGAATCTTCCATGAGCACGATTTATAAGGACTAACAAACTCATTTTTGTACAGTTATCGATCTTCTATTTCAAAAATCAACCCGAACAGTATTAAAAACATACAGGATATTATTATTATGAAATTCTAACTACACAAAAATGAGTTTGTTAGTCCTTATAACTCGTGTTCATAGATATCATGAGCTTCTTTACAAGTGGGCAAGGACTGTTTCTGGAGACTGTTTCTGTCAAGACATCGCGGCGGCAACAACAGATTCACCACCAGCTAGGAATAGTAGTACCGATTTAGTTTTGAACAGAAATTGGTTACCAGTTCTTTTTAAAAGGACAGAATCTCTTGCCATATGGAAAAAGATGATTATTTCATATATGATGACTAACAACTGATGACCTTTGTCATGGAATACGACACCAGTTGTTAGGAATAGTTGATCGTCGAATTTTTATAGCTCGAAGACGCTGATGACTAGTTCTCATTCTTCCAAAAAGAACTAGTAGCAGTTCCCGTTCAATCCGAATTGATGATAAGTTCGTAGAACTATGAGAATTGAAACTGTCTCACTTCTATCATTAGCGTCATAAATTACATACGAAAAATCGTTTTCAGCCAAAAGGTGAAGAGATACTTGGGAACCGTGAGATGGATATTCTTTTATAACTATTAGTAGTAGAACGAACTTAAATTTTCAAATGACTATATTTTTTTCTTTAGTGCAATTGTATCAAAAGCTCGTCCAACAATGGCTTTAACAATCTTGTTACCATCATATACCGGTTCAGAATCAAATGAAAATTCTGTATCATGTGTTGGTTGTACGGTTACTCTTCAAATTCGAAGACATGAAGAAAATGGATGTGCAAATCAAAAATGGAACTATGATACCACGCTTGGTTTCTTGTATCCATTTTATTCTTTAACTTTAATTGATAAAGGTAATATTTTCCGTTAGTAAATAAATATGTAACATTGGATATTAAAGATATTGTGTGGTAAAATAAGTAAAATATCATGATTATTATAATATTGTAGAAATTACGGCGGCTAATCGTGCTAATATTTGTTCTTATACGGTTGTTAAAGATGATATATCTCAACCGGTATGTAAATCTATTTTCTATTTTGAAATATCTGTTGGAATTTTTACGTGTACTTATTTTGTTTTGCAGGGTTATATGGTTTCCATATTAAATAATCAAGATCAAATAGAAAATGTTGATGTTTGTTTGGCATGTGCAAAGTCGATGCGTGGAAAATATCGACTCATTAAAATGGAAACAAATAGAAACTTTTCATGCGCTATCGGAAGACGTAAGAGTATTAATAATAATTCATCTGTCTTATTGTGATAATTGACACATCTTTAGGACAAGATTTAAAGTTCAGTGGTTCATTTCATTGTTTAAATCATAAAGTTGATCTATCCACAGATGAAGCTGAAAATACATATTTGACTTGGAAAGAAAAATATGAAAAGTAAAACAAAGAATTCTGTTATAAACTATATTAGATAATATCTTGTTTTCAAACTTTTAGACTAAAAGAGGAAGCAAGTGTTCGAATTATAGTTAAAGAATTAGCAGCTGCTAAATCAATTCAAACTGTTCATCTACTTGCTTATCGAAATGGAGATGGACATACAAAAATTGGACAATTACTTGTTGGATCAAGTATTCTTGGTGTATGTAATATGGATAGAGGTTTATCATTTGCTAATACTATTTAATATCTTTTTAGTTATTGGATCAAGCAACGCAGCGTTTAAAATTAACAAATGCAGCTCGACGTTTTTATACAATTGACGGGAATGTTATATTGACTATCGAAGATTTAATCCAATGGACATCAGATTATTACAAGAGAAAATATGCAAAATCGTCAAAACCTGAAAAACGTAAGATTTGTTGGTGTTTTTTTTAATTATGAAAATAACATTCATGATTAGTCTTAAGTTTGTTCAACAGGTCTCAGACGTTTGATCATAAACTTTTTAAGTTGTTAGAGAAAACAAAATCTTTACTGATGATTTGTAAGATACAAATATGTCAAATTCTAGCTACTGAAACTCAGCCATTACGTCAAATACAACATGAATCATATCAGATGCTTGATAAAGTTGAATTGAATACACCCCTACCTCCGGCATATCGATCTTTTGGTAAAGAAACAATTCTTGTTGTACCAATTTGTATTATTCTTTCGTTAACGCTTTTGTGATTTGATCTGCTTTTAATCATGCACCATGATGTTGATAACTACGACATTCTTCTTTCTACATACCCCTATCCTACACATCTTGATATTCAATACCACTTAGAGCCATTCAAACTTGTAAGGAAATGTCAACATGAATGCTGATGACTCTTAATGAGAGATAAATTCACATTTTATTAAAGATTTTCATGCCATGTGTAATTATTCTTCACACGTTGATCAAATCAATGTAATATTTTTCACTATATTCTTCTTTCGAATACTACAGATAAATTTAATTTATTGATTAATTCTTTTCTCAATTAAATAAAACAATTATTTATATGTTTAGACAATGAAGTTTTGTCTTCCACCTTGGAAACGTCAGGAGCCAATGCAAAACAACATTATCAAAATTTACCAAAACCATTAGATATTCAACGTGCAATGAAAAAAAATGCGAATGGAACAACTGAAATAGATATGAAACAACTGTTAAAATTTCCCATTGAAATATGGGTCTCATCAGGAGAACCATTTGCTAATCCAAAAGGTATAATTAAAATCTGTAAACATCTTGTCTATAAATGTTAAATATTAACATTTTTTCTAGATATTGATCAACGGCAAAATCAACGTATAGTACAACGAGAACAACGAACAATAACTGAACATGAATTAGAGAAAGAGAAACATTCACTACGTTTAATACAAGGTATATTCAATTCACTTTTTTTTTTTTGTTTAACATGGAGAAATTTTTTATTTTCTAAATAGGGCGTCGAATATCCGGTCAACAACCGGGTGAATTAGTACCTCAACAAAATCCACAGGAACCTGTTGTTAAACAAGGACACTGGACGGAACAATCGGATATTGAGTTAGATAAAATCGATGACGTTGAACAATTAAGGGTTAGTAGTTCTTGCTGGAAAAAGTTGAATGGCCTGCAGTTTTACATTCTTCTTTTAGACTTCGTTAGATGAAATTCGTATGTCACAACAACCGGAAAATACTCGCCCAAGTTCAACAGGGATCACCAATCGTCTTATTCAACATCCAAAACTTGTAAGCTTTCCAATTATGTTGTACTAGATCTTCTAATTGATTCTTCTGTTTTAGACACATATATTAGTATATGCTAATGGTGATCTGCCAACGAATGCAGTTTCGTGTTCTGGCAGTAGTCTCGAAGAAATAATGGAAAATTCAAAGCTAAAATTAAATCTAATGCAGCCAATACAGGCATTATTCGATGAAACTGGACAACTAGTAAGCCATCGTACTGAATATTTTATTATAACTTAGATTTCTATTTGAATATGGAATTGATCATGTCAACTTTCTTTTTAGATTGAACGTTTTGATCAAATTTATCGTAATCAAAAAATTTGTGTCTCTACAACAAAAACATTTACAACAGCTTCTGAACGTCAAAAAGACGTTGAAATTAAGGCTAGTTGGGCGCGTACACGTAAAAATTATGGTGATTCTGCCACTGATATTCGAGTTAATTCCTCTTTATCCTTTCCTTCCGTTGATCCGTATGGACCTCCATTACTTACTATTGGTGATCAAAATCAACTTCGACCACTTCATGCTACACAGACAATGACTCAAAATCCGGTCTTGGCTATTGAAGAACCAGCATCACGATTATTGAGACCACCAACAGCCAAACCAAAATTCACTAGAACAATAATTGAACAACCACAACAAGAAGATCAGCCCCCTCCTGTAACGCCTGCAAAATCGTTTCTAACAGAAACAGATACGTTCGATGTACCACCGCCACAATCAATGAATAAACGACAACAACAACGTTCAGATGCGACATCGATTGCTAATAATTTCTTTTCAAGTCCAATAACGATAACAAATGATTTTGTTAAAGATTCAACCAATGCTAGTGATGACGATAATGGAAATATGGAAAACGATGACAATGATGACGAAACTGATAGTGAGATACAACGTATAACGAATACATCCGGAGCAAATAATGATTTGTTGTTAGGAGATGACCGGTTAAACGAATACAGTCGATTTTCACGACCAACATCATCAAAACAACCTCGGAGTACAACAACAAGTCGAACAGAAAATAGTCCATTGTCAAGACTGTTTGGTGACGAAAAAAAGTCAGATAATAATAATAAACAGAAAAAGTATGATGATGATGATTTTATGGCACTTTTAAATAAAAAATAATTAACAAAAGTTTTTTTTTTATTAATAATATGATTCTTTTTATTCTATTTTCAATGTCAATATTGTATTTGATGCATTTTTCCTGTGGGAAAATATAATTTTCAATTAACAAACAGTATTAATACTTTAGATATAATGACTCAGACATGTACCCGATATTGAGTACGTTGTATATAACGATGTCGGGTAATATTTCGAATCACAGTAGCTTTTAGTACATTAAACCGTACAGACGTCAGGTTCTATTATTTTGAATTTAGTCGCAGTCTGTCAGAGTGTCAGATTTGTCCTGTCTGCCTTTTACTTCCATATATTGATTCCATTCGGATAGTTTTAGATATAGTTATATATTATAGAGCTCGGAACTAGAGATGTGCAACCCGACCCGAAGGATGGGTAAGGGTACGAGGTTGTCGGGTACGGATCGGGTACGAATTCAATTTTTTTAATTTACCCCAAAATCAGAAGATTTTAGCGGAAAACCCACAAAATTTTAGTGAAAAAATACAGGAGTTTAGCTAAAATACATGAAGGTTTGAAAAAGCAGTACTTGAGAACCTAATGATGATTGGACATCTTCAGCCGTAAAACAAAAAGGAGAAAAGTTTTAGGCATAAATCGGGTACGGCTACAAAGTTGTCGGATCGGTCGGGTACGGGTACGAAAATGGTACCCGTGTACATCTCTACCCGGAACGGATCCCATTTTCATCAATGTAGACAGCGAACAAAAAACAGCTTTTGGCCTGTGTCCTTCTACCTGTTTCTTCATTGTTACTCTTTCAACTCGTCCGAATTACACCATGTCTTTTCCTGCTTATCCGCTGTCACTTTTTCTCCTATTCTTTTGTTCTGGATGAGCATCGATCAAGTTACTCTTGATCCGACTTTTTTTCTGCTAAAAGCCTTTCATTTCATACATCAGTCGATGATATTTAATGTTAATTTCCATCATAAAACAATTTTTACACAGAAAAACCATTGATGCGAGAAAATTACACTAACTATCACAGACAAGCTCACAACAAGAGAAGAAAGTAGGTGATATGAATAAACAACAAGCGAATGGAATATAAATATAACAAGTAGATGTTTAGATCAGAATTCGAAAGAGAACCAAAAAACTTGAAATGCAAGATAATCTCTTTAGTCTGTTTCAAAGCTGAAGTCATCACCACCCGCCTTCATTTCACTCTGATCACCGGTATTCTTCTATTATTCTTCAATGATATTCTTGTATCATTAATATACAACAACTGTCCGCTTCTCTCAATTGTTGCACTCATCGTTATACCACCCGAAGCCACTAATCGATTGAGATCCATTGGCATTCGAGATTTATTAAATATGACCGTGTATCGAATTGGAAATTGCTGTCCTCGATGGAGTTGAATCACTTGTTTAGCAAGTGTTCTGCTCGGCGCATCCGCTACAGATGTATCATTAATGGAGACGGAAAGTATTTCATCACCACGAAATATCCGTGTTAGATCATTCGAAATCACTTTACCTTGGATTACTGATCCATTATTTTGAGAATATATTGATCCAGGATGTGTCATTAACGTAGGCTGCCAAAAAGCCATTTTGATGCAATGAAATGAAAGTAGTTTTTTTAATATTGTAACATCAATTATACGCTTATTCAAGCATAACGAAAGGTTGATTTTTTAGTTTCCCTTAGATAAATATCTATTTTATATGAAATATTGCAACTGAAAAGTAATCGAACAGGTGATATTTAACCCTCCGGCTTCTGCATGTAAATGAAAACGGGTGCACTAATACTATAATCTATACTATAGCACTGTGTTTTACTATGATTCTTTAAGTTACAACAAAAATTCTTATGCCAATTAGGAGTGCATCGTTTTTTTTCCGTATTTTTCAAAAGTTCATAATAAATGGTTTGTATTTTCGTAAAAACCAGTTGCAACAATTTTTAAAACGATAGTTTTGTGGAGAAAACATTTCTCTACAAGATAATATACAGAAAGTATTTTAGAAGTTTTTGTTTCGTTTTAGAAAGCGTTTTCCTCAAACCTAAGGTCGGTTATAACCGCGGTTTTTAACTGATACGCCTCTCGATCAAAAATACTCTTTAAAGAAACCCCAAAACTTTAAAATTAGCTACTACTTAGGGCATACCAAAAGTAGTGGCAGTGGTATTTTTATCCCTTATAGAAAGGTTAAAGAAACTTTCTTTTTATATAGTCTGATAGAGAAAAGAATGTTCTATTTTTCTATGCTATTTGATC